AAAAAAGGAGAATAGGTTGGTTTGACGGGAGAGAGAAAGACATAAGAAAATGGTAAGAAAAGTGTAGAATGAGAGAGAAAGACAAATAATAATTAAAAAAATAGAAAAATTAGTAGTGGGGGTTGATGTGATATTCAACTCACGACTTATATGTTATGGTGGCTATGGAAAGCCAGGAATTTATGGCTGTTTCAAGAAACTAATCTCCCTACCAGGACAGTTATGGCAACTACTCTCAAAGATTGGATGGCCTTTTTTGAGGCTCGGTCTTGCGGCTAATCTGTTGGTATCTTATGCTATTTATGATTTTCCTTGTTCTTGTCCTTTATTGGTTTCTGTTAGTTTTGTTGGCTTTAAGCTAGGCACTAGACAGTGGCTAATGCTCTTGTTTTTTTATCTTATATATTTTCTTAGTGTTGTTGTTCCCTTGCCTTGGTGTGTGGTTTCTAGGCCGCTTTTAAGCGTGTCCTCCTTATTTGTTTTTTCGGCTTGTACTTTGGTGTCGATCTGTATTCGAACATTGTTCGCTTTGAGATTGTATAATNTTATTGTTTATGATGCTATTTTTAATATCACATGGTGCTATCATTTTCACAAATGCTAATATAAATTGTGTTGCTATTTTTAAGAAAATAAATTCATGTTAAAAATAGCATTAAAACACAATAAATCATAGCATTACTTGCAACTATAAATAACGGTTCTCACGCTAGGACTTGGTTCTCATTTGAACCACATCCTATATATATATATATATATATATATAACTAGCCAAAAGTAAATTTTACCTCATAAATTTTACCTATGTGGCAACTTTCTTAACACAAAAATCACTACAATCCATTATTATTATTAGTATTATCCACCGTATCTCATTAATGATAAAATAATTTTTTGCACTTTTTTAGTTTAATTAAGACAAAAACCGTTATATTTTATATTAACTGAGTAATAATTATATTATTTATTGTATTATGTAATAGTTATTATTAAAATTAATATTATATTTTACACTAAATGATAAATAAAAAAGTACTTAAAAATAAAAAATTATATTTTAAAAACTTTTTGTTCAAGTTATTTATTCTAAAATAAATATTATATTTTTTATATGATTAAGTGATTGTTTTTAAAATAAATTAATTTGTTTTAATGTCATAGTAAAATTTATTAAAATCGGATAAATAATTGTTATAATAAATTTAAAATTTTTCAGTTAATTAATTGATCATGGTCCCTCAAAATTACATTATTTATTACATTTTATGTAATCAATGTAATGGTTTATGTGCAATCAAATCGTTATATACTACTTTTTTTTAATCAATGATCAAATTTTAAAACATAAATATATAGTATTATCTCACTTATAATTTTAATATTATATATATATAAGTAATTTATAATACTTTATTCACGTATAAATGCACATGGTCGAATATTAAATGCGAGTAAAAAAGGGTTACGGAGATTTATGTGAAAAGAAGTCTTTAATAATTGATTTGATCACAAAAACTAGTTGTATCCTAAAGTTTACTTCTATCCTCATTCTCTTTAAACTATTTCTGTTTGCCTACGAATAACCCCACTTGCCCGGTCTCCTAAAGTTCAATATATAAACCTAGGGCGAAGAAGAACCTCGCGATTTTTCATCATAGCTGTTCAATTGATCCTCTCAGGTAGGCAAATGGAAAAGAAATTCTTTTTCTCGTCGAATTATTGTTGGGTTATTTTTTGTAACTTGCTTAAATTGGTTTTGCTATCGATTTGAATGTTTGCTTGTTTTATGATTCTTTATTTGGCTATTATGGTCGTAATCGAAGAAGCCATTGATGTGAATCTTCAGTTTATGCTGTATACAGATTTTGCTTAAGTTTGAGAATGTTGAATTCAAATCACTTGTGAAATTTGTGGACCACATGCTATTGTTATATCATTTGATTGGTGTTTTAGGGTAAATTAAGCTTATTTCCTCGAGTGTACGAAGTTCATTTTTGGGTCTTTTGCCTTCGTATTTCAAAGCAGGGTTGATACTTGTTTCCATTCTCGGCTGATCATTTTTATTTCCTTACTATTTTTTCTTTGTGCAGATGGTTTTAAGTTTCTAACCAAGGGGATTGCTTTAATAGGTTATAGTTTGTCTTTTGATGAGTTTTTTATGTTTGAGCTCAGATTACCTAGACTGGAGGGGCTATTTTATTTGTTTGCTTTATTAATAAATTCATTTGTATTCTAACATTTGATTGTAACGGGGTTCAGATACTGAATGATACAAAATGGCTGAGATAAAGTCATCCGGGAGACCAATTGATCTATTGCTGGAGAAGGTTCTGTGCATGAACATACTTTCTTCTGATTACTTTCGAGATCTCTTGGGATTGAAAACGTACCATGAAGTGATTGATGAGATTTATGTCACTGTTACACATGTCGAGCCATGGATGACTGGGAACTGCCGTGGACCGTCAACCGCATATTGCCTTCTTTACAAATTCTTCACTATGAAGCTCACTGTCAAACAGATGCATGGCCTGTTGAAGCACCAAGATTCCCCTTACATAAGAGCAGTAAGTAGAGTATTGGCATGATGATATTTCCTCATTAACTGTTGGGGTGCATGTGTTGTGTAAAATCCCTCATTTGTTTTTTGAGCCATGACCGGCATTTGTTAACACTGGTTCTTGGACCATCATAATCCACTTAAACAAGATCCAATTAGGCTCAATTAGGTTAACCAGAAATTAGAGTACATGTGAAGTGGAAAATTTGAAATAGGTACAACAACAACAACGACAACAACATACCCAGTATATTCCCAACAGGTTGAGGTCTGGGGGGTCAGTTGTAGGCAGACCTTACCCTTGTAATTATACAAGGAGGTTGTTTTCGTAGCAACCCAAGGTGCATTGCGCCGTTTGATATATTTTTTTTTTTAGAAACTTCACTAATAGAAGCACTAGAATTTAATTGAGCCATTTTGATCTAGTCCATTATTAGCACTATGCTAGGAGAATTGTCAACAATGACCCTTCCAGCTCCATTTGCAATGGACAAAAAATTTGAAATAGGTACGTATTTCATAATTGATTTTATGTTTGTTTGTTGTATTAGTTGAAATTTGTGGGACCCTTCTGTCAATGGTCTTCTTAAGAACATCCCATTTCTATTGTGCTCTAGTGTGATCATTTGAAAAACACTTTTGTCTATTTGTATACGCTCTCTTACTTAAGGTTGAGGCCATGGAACACTTGTTAGTTGTTTCTTGTTATGTCGTTAAAATTTCCAGTGCTGTCATCAAGCCTTACGTGTTAACCAAAACTTGGCTTGATTCTTGTAGATTGGGTTTCTGTACTTAAGGTACGTTGCAGATCCAAAGACATTATGGAGTTGGTACGAACCATACCTGAAAGATGATGAGGTACGAAAAAAGGTCTTTCTCTGCTTCTTTCTGTCTATTTAGAATTATTGTTATATGAACCGAAATCTTGAGTTGCATGCAATTCCCAACTCTATGCACAGTTTTTCTGTTGCATCTCTTGAAGAGGAATGAAAAATTGCGTGATGACAATAAAATCAAGTGACATAACTGTCCTACTTGCAACCTGGTTTTGGTTATAGAAGCTGGTGGAATATGCTTAACATTGCACTAAAAAATGTTAGGTCTATGATTACCTATGTGGCCCTCAGAAACTACGTTTTATTAGTTTATACTACATATTATAAGTCTAAGATTTAAGACGTGGTATGCTTGACTGTGTCAATTAGCGAATAAGAATTGACTCATTAGTAAGATTCATATGCATCTTTTATTTGCTTGCTGCTATAACTTATTATCCATAATGGCAATTTTTCGTCCATCATTTCCTATTATCATGCTGAATTGAGTCAGTGATATGTGTGGATCACGTATGGATGGAAATGACTTTTGCATATGATGTAAGAATCTTATGATTTGTGTTTCTGATACCCTTTGATCGCTCAGGATGGGAAGATTTTTACAGTTCCTCGTGCATCAGCATGATTCCGGTGCAGGTGAACTGCTTTTGCGTGAACCGCGATTTTAGAAAAATCGAGTTATATTTGTAGTACATGACTAAGCCCTTGCTCATCTTTACATTCATATGGTCTTCCTTAAAGTCTCTCATTTATCATGTTAGAGGTCTTGAGGAAATTTGAGCAAGCTGATGTATGGTAGGAAGTGGTCCATGTTATGAAGAATCTTTAATACTGTTATTCTGATAAGACATTTTCTACACCTACTTTTTCTCAATTCCAATACAGGAATTTTCTCCCGGGTCAAATGGCAGAATGACTACAATGGGTGTGTATGTGCGTGATTTACTTCTCGGACAGGTCATACCCATCTTCTCTATCATCATCATCATCATCATCATCATTATTATTATTATTATTATTATTATTATTATTATTATTATTATTATTATTATTATTATTATTATTATTAAAATAATAATGTTGGATGTGTGGGCAGTACTATTTCGACACGCTCTTCCCGCGCATTCCTGTGCCCGTCATGCGGACGATCGTCTCAAACCTCGAGAGCATGAAGCTGCCAACTAAGCACTGTGGGGTGACGGGCGAGACGACCCGCGGGTCGGACGAGACAGCCCGGCGTCCCCCTTCAGTCAAAGCTTCTCTCTCTGTCTCCTTTGGCCAGCGGGCCCCACATCGGGCCTCCACCCGTGACTCATCCCCTGTCAGGCGATATTCGGTTGCCCCATCTGAAAGGGAAAGGGAAAGGGAAAGGGAAAGGGAAAGGGAAAGGGGAAGGGATAGAGAGAGATACAGGAAATATGATTATGATAGGCATGGGAGAGAGAATTATCGTGAGAGGAGGGATCGTGAGGAGCGCTATCGTGTGGGCAGGAGCAGGAGCAGGAGTAGGAGCAGGAGTCGAAGCAGATATGATAGAGGTGAAAGTGAGAAGAATCGATTGAGTCCGTCTGTGAATGGGGAAAAGAGTAGGAAGTCTGCTGCCAGTAATCTTGCCAAGCTTAAGGATTTGTATGGCGACTTGAACGGGCAGAAGGAGGATAGGAGAGAAAACCATTCAGGTGGTACAGAGGAGGTTATCAGGCTAGGTGGGTCGAGTTGGAGGTAGGAGATGGATTAGTTGGTTGACTTGATGGCTGGGAAATTACCCTCTTACCCTTGTAATTTTAGTTGTGTTTCGTATGTTACTATGTTTCAAGCTTTTGATGGTATTTGGGAATAACTATTGTTGCGAGGCCTTGGTTGTTTGCAGTTATTTTTAATTATGCGAATCGTCTGTAGTGGTTTGTGTACTTTTCATGGGCGTCTTTATTTAGTTGCTGTCTCAATAGGTTCCTCTGTATGAATCTGAGTGTTTCTTATTTAAGTTGAATTGTAGAAAATCTAGTATAATGCATGCACAATTGTTATCAGTGATTTGATAAATCTTTGCAAAACGTATCATGCACACTGATTTTTCTGAGAAAGATAAAGTTTTGATAAATCTTTGGATTTGATAAACTCTAAATAGAAAATAAATTACAAAGAAAAGATCAATCTTTGCAAAACATATTGTAAACACTTAGAGCATCTCCAATGGTGCATAGATTGTTATGCATTTTTTATTCACTGCTATATTATTTATTTTATATTTCTTTCACCACTAACTAATTATCTTACAAATTATTCCATAATTGACAAAAAATGATCATTTCCTTTCTCCACACCATTAAAATCAAAATAGAAATTGAATCATTGGAGATGCTCTTAAGCCAGCAAAATAAAAATATTTCTTAGAAAAAGCACTGTTATATTATTTATTTTATATTTCTCTCACCACCAACTAATTATCTTACAAATTATTCCATAATTGGCAAAAAAAGATTATTCCCTTTCTCCACACCATTAAACTCAATAGAAATTGAACCATTGGAGATACTCTTAACCCAACAAAATAAAAATATTTCTTAGAAAAAGCACACACCAGACGGAAAACATTTATTCTAGAAATTGAAATTCAAAATTGATGAATTAATGACTAAACTAATATTTTTCAACGTTAACCATATAAAATAAAAAATATGTCTTAAAAATACACACAATATTTATTACATTTGTTCTAAATATTAGAATATTTATATTGATATTGTGTGTAAACATTACACACAATATTTATTACATATGTGGTGTTAATTTTCATGTGGTGTAAATAAATAAATATATATATATATATATATATATAGGGGGCGGATCAAATGCGGCCAGCTCTTAAAATGCGCCCAACTCTTAAAATGCGGACAACTTATAGCAACTACAGACAACTAACCTAGCAACTACAGACAACTAACTAGCAACCACAAATAACTAACTTAGCAACTACAGAGAACTAACCTAGCAACTACAAAGAACTAACCTAGCAACTACAAACAACTAATCTAGCAACTACAGAGAACTAACCTAGCAACTACAAACAACTAACCTAGCAACTACAGAGAACTAGCCTACCAACTACAGAGAAGTCAACGGTCAACGCTTGAAGTCAACGAATTTCGTCGGAAGTCAACGGTCAACGGCAGAAGTCAACGGTCAACGTCGGAGTCAACAGGTCAAAATAATATTTAAATAATTAAAATAATAAAAAGAAAAGAGTAAATCTTGGCCACACATGATGTACAAAATCTTGGAGCTAAAAATGAGTCTCACGTCCTCACTTTAAATAAGTGGATGCATTGGAACCAATCCCTATATATATATATATATATATATAGGGATCAAATGCGGCCAACTCTTAAAATGCGCCCAGCTCTTAAAATGCGGACAGCTTTTAGCAACTACAGACAACTAACCTAGCAACTACAGAGAACTAACCTACCAACTATAGAGAACTATCCTAGCTACTACTAACCTAGAAACTACAGAGAACTAACCTAGCAACTAATAACTTAGCAACTACAGAGAACTGACTTAGCAACTATAGAGAATTAACCTAGCAACTACAGAGAACTAACCTAGCAACTAGTAACTTAGAAACTACAGAGAACTAACCTAGCAACTACAAAGAACTAACTTAGCAACTAGAGAGAACTAACCTAGCAACTACAGAGAACTAACTTAGCAACTACAGACAACTAACCTAGCAATTACAGAAAATTAACCTAACAACTACATAGAACTAACCTAGCAACTACAGAGAACTAACCTAGCAACTTGTTGACGGACGTTTTCGGTCAACGGTTAAAAAGTAAGGTAATGAAAAGATAATGGGGAAAAGACAAAGAAATACGGTTCGGTTACGATTTTATTAAAAGATCACGAGGTCGGCCTCTCGTACGAGGTCGGCACTTGCGATATACTTGCAGTTTCTTACACGAGTTTCTTTCAAGTCTAGAGAGAGAAAATATAGAAAGAGCTTTTACAATTGGGATTCAACAACCTAAAAATAAATGAGGGGGTTGCTATTTATAGTGGTCTTTAATGCGGTACTGTTGGGGTACTGTTCACCGGTCTTGTCGTACAGTAGTTCGGCGGGACAAAAACCGGCGCTTCTCTGACCGATTGAGAGTGATTTCTGGGTCTTCTAATCATTACCTGTCACGCATTTAATGCGGATGTGAGTTGCATTTAATGCGGACACGTTTCCTAGCCGAAATAGACATCCTAGTCCTGTAAACTAGTCTGGATGTCCCATCGGCAGTCATTTGTCGACAAGTGGCCTTATTTCATTGTGTTTAACACCGTATTCCTATCAGGGGCCGCCTTCGCAAGATCTTGAACAGGGTGCCGACCCCGGGATCGGCTCGTAGTTGAGAGGTCATGGTGCTGACCTCGGGATTGACTCTACCCGCCGTTCCTGGTGGCTTTGATTTTTGTTCAGCTCGGCACCCATGAACGATTCTGGTAACCGGCTCCTTCGGTTCGGCCGACCACCGCTCGGCTCTCAGTCTGTCGGGCAGGTACCCTTATTGGGGCCGGACTCGGATATTAACACAACTACAGACAACTAACCTAGCAATTACAGAAAACTAACCTAACAACTATATAGAACAAACCTAGCAACTACAGAGAACTAACCTAGCAACTACAGAGAACTAACCTAGCAATTATAGACAACTAACCTAGCAACTACAGAGAACTAGCCTAGCAACTACATAGAACTAACCTAGAAACTACAAAGAACTAACCTAGTCCGAAGGTTAGTTGTCAACGGTCAACGTCGGAAGTCAACGGTCAACGCTGGAAGTCAACGTATTTCGCCGGAAGTCAATGCCGAAGTCAACGGTCAACGCCGAAGTCAACAGGTCAAAATAATATTTAAATAATTAAAATAATAAAAAAAAGAGTAAATCTTGGCCACACATGATGTACCAAATCTTGTGGCTAAAAATAAGTCTTACGTTCTCACTTTAAATAAGTGGATGCATTAGAGAGAGAGAGAGAGAGAGGATCATATGAGAAAGAGTGATAGTGAAAGAAATAAAAAAGAATGTAGGCCTTTAGATTTAACAAATGAGTGATCATGATTAAGAATGTAGTTAAATATGTAATGGCATTATGGTAAATATTAAACATATAATGGTCAAATATGTTAAGTTGACCAATTATTAAGGGTATAATTATAAGTAGATTAATAAACAATTTTGGTGGTCCCCACCCCAAACCACTCCATCTTCCTCAACGAAACATTTCATGCTACCCATATGGGTACTACTCATTTTTAGCAAGAGCCAATAAGAACAAGACATGTGGCAAATTTTTGACTATCAAGGTGCTATAAACACACTAAAGTTTACTATAGGAAAACCAAAAAAAAAAAAATCTATTTAGAAAAATCATTAAAGGCAAATAATTATTAAAGAAAATTTTATGAGTGATCCACCAAAAATGTCAGAACAAATAGGAACACTTATAGAAATAATAAAAAAGACCCAATTAGAAACATTTGGAAAATTAGAAGAAATAAAAGAAATAATAAAAGAACTACAAGATTTAATACAAAAAGAAAAAATATGGAAAAAAGTATTTAAACCAATTCAGATAGAGCCACCAACAACTTCTAATGGATGATATAGATAGATTAACACAGTTATTAGAAAAATGCAATATTGAAGAAACAAGAATGGCAAAAATAGATGATGAGGATAAACAAGGAATAATTTATGGAATAGATAGCGAAGATGAAGATGAACCAACATTTAATATGACTGACCAAAAACCGCATACAACACCACCATTATCACTAAAACGACCTAGAACAAATAATAATGAAACATCTAGTTCACAGAATAATTATGTAGAAAGCAGTTTTAGAGATTTTATATATAGAAATGATTATAGTTATCATCAAGAAAAAATAAAGAAAAACATACCACCAGCATATTTAGAAAAAGAAAGAAATTTATCTAATGGAATATTAAATATAAATTGTGCAACCAACGCAGAAGATTTAATAGTTACTTGGACTAATCAATTAAAATTATTAGTTCAAACTAATGATTCAATGATAAATGGAATGACATTAACTGATTTTGTGAATTATATAAGATATAAAACAATCGGAGTATTATTTGACTATCTAGAAAATACTCGAATTTTATTAAATTTTGATGCTAATGACTTAGAAATAGGAGCAGAATACAAAATAGCAGCATTAAAAGAACTAGTACGAATCCCGTGCGATGCACGGGTAGGAGATATTCATTAATATTAATAAATTAGAAATACTAATTATATAATATTTATTAAAATATAGAATCAATATATAATACAATTTACCTATATTAATTTATTGAAAATTTTATATGAAATTTAAATTGTGCAAAATTACATAAAACATGTCTATTTAAAATTAGTACGCAACTAACTGATAATAAATTACATTGTATTCATAAATTTCATTTTTAAATTTTTATTCATAAATTTGATTTGACTACAATGTGATTCTATATAAAAATTATTTTGGTAAAATTTTATCATATATTTAAAAATCTGTGTGAATAATAAGTATAATTATTGAACTTTTGCTCCATTAACTATAAAGAATTTATTCTTGTATAAACTATTCAAATTAACCAAAGCTTTTTCTATAAAAAAAAAAACATCGATACACGCACATTATATCAAAATATTAGTTCATAATATTTTGTGAGAGTTACTTATGTCATTATGTTAATTTCGTACAAAATTGAAACACATGCCTAAAAACCAATATATTAGCATGCGCATTACAGAAAAGAGTACACCGTATATTGATTAAGTTTTCAACAAATTTTCTAACAAAAAACAGTCATCAAATAACCTAAATAAATTTGCTCACTTTATATCATATATTGATTGATTTATTTCCTATAGAAACAACCATCAATACAAAAAATAAATCCGCCCAATTTATACCATACTAGTACATACCCCGTGCGATGCACGGGACAAAGATATTAAATGAGTTATTTTCACACCCTTGTCCGTTTATGTCTAAAAAATAATAGAGTTATTATCTATTTTTTACCTCTTTTAATTAACGTTAAATCTAAAAAACAATAGGGTTATTATAAGTTTTTTTCCACATCTTTTAACCAGCGTTGTTTTTTTTAGCAAGAACATTAAATATGAGCATGTTAAGGCTAGCTTGTAATTAATATATTATCTCACTAAAATATTTATACTAATAAAAATTTAATTTTAGCATATAAATTTATCCCTTGATATAAGAGAAAGTAACAGTTTTACTTATTGTTGTTCATAATATAATATTTAATTATTATTTTATTCTATAATAAAAATGAATATTGTTAAATAGTGTAGTAGAATTGTTATAAAATTATATGAATTATTTATTTTACAATATGGATTTAATATCTTTAAAAGATTTGATAATATTACAATAATATATTCTTAATGATATTTATGAGATACGGATTTACATAATACTATGGATTTATTCCTTAATGTTAAGATATTGAATTAGGTAATATATGATTCACTAATTTGTAATCTGTCTCTTTTTATATTGAAAATAATCATGTGATTGAGTAGAGGTAACAATTATCTATAAATTCCTTCATTTAAGGAATAATTTTTAAATTGGTCCAAGTGTTGAATGCAGTCCGATTCTCTTGTAACTAAAATGAGAAGAGATTTTGAATTTCAAATTTTCACTTCAAAACCACATGTAAATTTGGATGCAGATTTTATTAAAAATAAAATGAGAAGAGATTTTGAATTTCATATTCACTTTAATATCTGTCAAAATTCTCAAAAATGAATTCAACAAAACCCATAATTTTAGGGGCATTTAATGCTACCATATTTTATGATTTAAAATATCTAAAACTTTCTAAATATGGTGTGCAATTAATTATTTTAAAAGATGAACCGCTTTTGTTACCAAAAAATGTGGGTACAATTTTGAATGTACATCCCGTCCAAATATCAGTTTTATTTTAAAATAAAAATTGCACGTGGTTTTAACCAATTTACAAAAATTATTCATTAAGATTGGAAGAATTAGTTAGAAATTATACAACTATTTGTTTCGTAAATTTGTATCCAATTTGAACGGTTTTTAAATTGATTTGTATTTAGAATTATTTTCATAAATAATTGATACATTTTTTGCATAAGAATCTCTAAATTTGTTACCAAAAAAGATATGATTTAAATTTTGGTAAAAAAATAAAATATGATACGGAAAATATGGGATTCAAATTTTGCCATAAGAATCTCCAAATTTGTTACCGAAAAAATAGGATTCAGATTTTGTTTCTAAAGATTTACATGTATTTTTTCGAACTTTCCATTAATAGTAAGTCAAACATTATATTTATTTGGTCAAACTTTCTATTAATGTATTTTTCCAACAACCTCTTTATATATATATAGATTAGCGAAAGATTTATTAAAAGAATTTTTAGGAATTACAGGACAAGAATTAAAAGAAACACAAAAAGATAAGGTAGTTAGATTTCTAACAAACATGAAGTTATGCAATGTATGCTATATAGAAATTTTTTTTCTGTCAAGTAAGAGAAAATTTCTATAAGATTAAGGATCGGTCAGGACTAATAGAAATAGTTGAAAGTAAACTTAAATATGAAATGAATAAATATATTCAGAAGAAAATTAGTGAAACAAAAGAAGAAAAAATTCTAGGAATTATAGAAGAATATGCGAAAGAATATAGGAATGAACTTTGTATAAGAAAATTAGAACACCATGAAATGACTAAAATCAATCCAAGATGTTGCAAGTGTACCTCAAGAATTTGGTTGTTATAAACCATACAAAAAATACTGCTGACCTCGAGCTGAAATATTCATGATCTTAGAAGTAAGAATCAGTTTATCGAACCGGAATGTAAAATAAAAAAAAAAAAAATCAATCGATTAAGTGCAATTCAATAGTCATAAACGTGCAATTCATATAACAATATGGTGCAATTCATCTAACACTATGGTGCATTTACAACGCATATATTTTTAATATTTTGTTTATGGTGCATTTACAACGCATATATTTTTAATATTTTGTTTTAACACTATGGTGCATTTACAACGCATATATTTTTAATATTTTGTTTTAACACAAACTAAAATTGAATTTAATAATTTGCATACTTGATCAATTAACGAATTGGTTTCTTTCCCAACCAAATGCCTTATCATTATCATTTTCCGCGTAATAAAGAACAATCATACATAATATAAATAATTTAGTAGTAATATAATAAAGAAATCTATTTAGTATTCTTTAATATTTACATGTAATGTTTTATATTTTTTTTTGTCTGGAAATAAATAATATTTTTATATTAAAATAAAATATTTTTTATATAGTTAGTCGGATTGATTATTATGATTATATTAAAAAAATAATGTCGATATTTAAATGACATAATTGATATTTTACTAATAAAAATAGATAATCGAACTGAAATATAATATTTGGACATGAAATCTTTAGCTCATTCGGTTTCGATGTACAATTCGTATAACATTATTGTGCAACTTGGTAGTCGTGAATGTGAAATTCAACTAACACTTTTGTGCAACCGCAATGCATGCATTATTTTAACGACTTGTCCGGAATCAAACTAAACATGACTAAAATAATCTATTTATTCAATCAGATAACCGCATTAACCTAAATTTACAAAATAATGTATAATTTATATAATAAAACTAAATTTAGCAATTTCATACTCCTATTTAATATTTTATATTATTTTTGTTGAAAAATCATAATATATATAATAAATAATTCGGTCGATTGGTTATTTAAATAAATAAAACCGACGTCGAACCCGAATAATCAAAATTTTAAAAGTAAAAACAATAACTGAACTGACATATATAAACTGTACATATATATATATATATATATATGTATACATATATTTTCAAAGTAATTTCTATCCGTACATATGCTACGTCAAAGTGCAATCTCAAAGGCCAAAAAGTGCAACTTGTCTGTCATTAAAGTGCAATACGTCTTATAATATCTTAATATTTTATATTATTGTAATATTAGTTTATTATTTTTATTATTAACACTCAATATTTTGTTATTAATATATATAGTGTGCACGATTTTGATTTATATTGTGCAGTCTAAAATAATCGAACTTTTGTCTCAAACAAAATTAAAATTGAACCGAATAACCAAAACAATTGAAATAAAATATTATTTATATTATAAAAAATATACTTAGTAGTTTTAATATCTTATATATATATATATATATATATATATTTTGCATGAACTTAACAATATATTTATATAAAAAAATATATACCCGACATAAACTTAAATAATTTTATTGAAAATAATATCAAATAATGTAATCGATTATCGAACAAAAAATTTTAGTCTTTTTTATTTTTTATTTTTTTGTGCAATTCTTATTTTGTGCAATTGAATAACATTATTGTATAATTATTAAAGTTTGGATAAATTAGAAAATTGACCCATGGATTAAATTGAAATTTATTAAAAATTACAAAATTGCAATTGGGTCCCTATAGGTTATCTAATTCTCAAACAATCACCATCATTATTTTCATGTTCCGGATTTGCAGACTTCAACGCCATCGCCGCCTGTCTTATCTGCCTGCTGCCAGCTAGTCCAGTTGTAGGCGTGTGAGAGGAGGACGTCGGAGAGTCAAACGTCGAGTTTGATTTTAACGGGGCGGAGTGGCTGAAAGCGGGCGTGTGGCGTTGACTAGCCTGCGATTTCAGGCGTCCTTGTTCGTCGTCTCCTTGGTCGGGATCGGCAGCAACCAACGAGCTTGATTTCAGTGGTTAGATCTTAGCCGGAGGTGGCACTTTACAAGGTCGATGTTAGAGGAGGGCGGCGACGACTGAGAATAACTTTGGCTGAGGCGTATGGCGGCGGGCAAGCGTGTGGCGGGCAGACGTTAGCCGAGTGTTACCGGCGGTGAGCTTGAGTGTGCGACTGTGTGTAGTGTATGTGTGTGTTTGAGAG